AGCGATTAGCGTTAGCGTTTTGAAAAGGCTATCTACGGGCAGCGTTTAGCGTTGGCGTTTTTAAAGTAATCTGCACCGTTAAAATTTTATCCAAAACGCTAACGCTATTCCCAAACAGACCCATAGCCTCAAGCGTGAGGAAATAATATAACGCCCTGAAAACCAGCTTAGTAGTTAGTTATTATTTAGAGAAAAATAAATATAATTACTAATTATTTTTATTTTCTGACTCGAAAAATAAACTATTTATAAAGTAAACCTTTTTTATTTAAAAATTAAATCGTTAGGTAGATCTTGTGAAAAAGTGACTAACAATATACTCCGTATAATTTATTAAGTTTGGACTTATGTGTAAAAAATTATAAGTAAAATAGACATTACAGTTCAATAAATAAATATAAAGATTCTATAATATAATAATAATAATCTCGGTATATAAATATCTTAAACTAAACCTCCACGAAACCCCCAAAGCCATGCTGTATAAATACAAACTAACCGATTATATTGAGGGGAGAGTAATATATATTCCCTCCGTCCCCAATTTGATTACAATTTTTTTTCTCTCCTCTCGATAATTTTTGTTTGTTACGCGATTTTATTAAGTATTTGATAAAATAAAATATTCTTGTCCCCTCTTATTTTGTAGAACTTTTGACCTACTTTTTTAATACGTAATTTTTATTTTTTTGATATACCGATTTGTAATTAAAATGATTTCAAAAAGTGAGATATTTCGATCTTCTCGTAAATCCCAATTTGTAATCAAATTGGGGACGGAGGAAGTATATGAAATAAACCTACATATGCAGTAGTAGTTACAAATCTCGTATCAATTACAACGGACGGAGAAGATGAACGGTCCCGAAAAATATTAAATATGAATTTATAAATTATTCAAAATGTTACAAATAAATAATAGACAAATCTGAAAATAACTTCATGGATCTTCAAATATCCTTGTTGTATGTGGACATTATGCACTTGACTACAAATACAATTTGCATTGGACTGCAAAGACATTATGTACTGGCTGAAGCAGTAAATCTAGGACAAAGACACTTTGAGAGGTAGCGAGGTCACTTGAGTAGTGGCCAGGTCAAAAACACTGTGGAAGAATAGCAGAAACACCAAATCTGTCCTTAAGGTAGTAGTGCCCGCCTACTGTACCGGAAAAACGTGGGCACTCTCCTCCTAGAATAAAACCACTATCATGCATGTGTGGTGATAGTACGGACCAACAACACACCAACGAACAAGAACAATGTAGGAAGGTTGACGGCCAAAAACTTAAAGGGGATCATCGAAAATTTAGCCGGAAAAACCAAGAGCTCTCTCTAAGAATAAGAAAATGTTTTTTCTTTCTTTTTTTCCTTTTCTTTCTCATGTATGGAACACACACAATGGTGAGAGGAGCCTTTTGATTTTATAACCAAGCATTTTAAAAATGTAACCTCTACACATTAATGCTTCGTATTAAATCATGGGATTTGTGGCACACTAATGGTGTGTTAATGGTGATTAAGTAGTCATTAACACGTCTGTTATGCTATGCTTTGTTTAAAATTTGTCCCGAATAATTGGAGGTTAGTTTCCAGTTAACTCCGTAAAAATAGACTACTTTTTAAACAACATGTACAAATAATAATAGAAGATTGGTTCAATAAATTTATAAATTTAATTTGCAATCCTTAGCATTTTCTTCTATCAACGGGTTAAATCCGAAAACCAATTTGTCATTCACCCTCTACCATTTTTTGCGTATAAACTATCAAAATATTTTCTCGTTAAAGAGAGTATACGTCCATTAATTAACGGTTAAGACCGTTAGTTGAATTATTGATAAATATACTCAAGTTGGTCCATTTAATGTCTAGTAAAAGTGCCAAAAATTCCAACAATAATACATAGTAAATCAGCATTACGGAGTACTTTTTCAAAGTTTGGAACCCAAGAATCATCCCTAGACTGCTTTCGAAGACGGCGCATCACCACCATGTCTGTTGTCGTCTGTCCTCCTTGTTGATTCGATTAACTTGTTTTAATGGTTCAAATCTATCGAGGTGAGTTTGTGGGTTTGTTCTAGCATAGAATTCATAGATAGCGTTAATTCATATATATAGCCAATCATATATTCATATTATGTGAATTTGATTATGATTGTTAATTATGATTTATTTAAAATACGATGTTATTGAAATTGGTTGATCACTGAAGGCCAAGTATGTTTTTACTACTCATATTTTAGTGGATTATGTGTTATTGGGATTATATCTTGTTAGCAGATATACTTGGAAACATGATGTGTGTTGTGTTTGCAAATTTTGACGGAGACGGTAGGTCCCTACCATCCAACGGTAGGTGACTACCGTCACAGTCCTTTCATCGTAGCCAAACAATGCTCCATAAGGTACCAAGGTACCGTTAGGTGGTACCAAGGTACCATACCAGATGCTAAATGTCTCTAATTGCTTGTTTGTTGTTCCAACCAAGTCACGAATTGATTCTGAGAACTTATGTGCTGTATGAGGGTAATTGGAAATAGTTTACACTTGACACTAGGCCACTAAGTGTTACATATCAATGTTTATGATTTGTACTATAATAACGTATGAATTTGAGAATATGAATCTATGAACTTGAATACGGATATGCTACCTAGCTGAATTGTAGGTAGATCGAGAAACAAAATAAAGATATAGTCATGAGTTAATGGTCAAGTGATGAGCCGACATGCATGATGATCAGTTGGGTAAAGCACGAGCACGAGGTCTATGATCTATTCATGGATGTGAGTAGGGTGTCCCACCTTGCTGACGTTGAATGACGTCATATCGAGTGGGTTCTTCCATGAATTTGGTTGAATCAAAACCCTAGAAAGAATAAAGAATTAGTCTTAGCCTAGAATATGTTATGAGCTTAGAATTAAGGAAGATTGGTTATGATCTTTGCATTTAGATTATGTGATATAAATGGCTAAAGTAAGAACAAAGTAAATTTGGTAATCCATGTAAAAAGGTTTGATTCATTAATTGTTGATGTTACTGTTATCCCCTGATGATGTTATAACATTTTTTTGTATGAAATGCTATGAATGACTACATATGTTGAAATAACTCTATGTGTGACTTCTAGTGTTAGAAGCTCTCACTCAACGTGAAAGCTAAGCGTGTAATTTATTTTACTTGCTACACGTAGGTAACGAGAATGACAAATAAGGAAACAATCCAGGAGGGCAGTTGGATGAGCAGAGGGATGGATGCAAGAGAGAGGGATTTAATTATTGAATATTACAAGTAAATTTATTAAGTTTTTTGGGCAAGAACCCAAAGTTTTATTTAAAATAAGTGCTTAAGCTTCCACACTATTTTATATTACTCTGATTGATATTTAAATAATGGTTTTGAATTAAATATTTTAAATTATTTTAATTGTTATTGTGTTTGGATGCCAATCTAGTAACAACCCGGTCTGCTAGTCCATGTGTTCGAATTACGTGGGTCGGGGTGCTACAAACCAAATGTGTCAAATGAAACTGGTTTACACACGTGCTAGTTCTCAACACACACGCTCTCATGTTTAATTTGGACACTTTACATGAACCGGCTTTTAACCCTGCCTCACTCACCGTGAAAGAACCAATCCCCAAGCCCACTATAGGATAAACCTATGTTAAATATACATAAGAATGTTTCCCTGCCATCCATCCAAAGACTAAAACGCCAGCTGGTCTGAATGTGGATCTTCCTTCCAACGTGTCAGTCAAGAAATTCACAAGTGCTTCTTCCATGACAAAAATCCGGGCACGTCAGAATATGTCAAAGGGAACTTCACAGACCAATTCATGTTGGTACTTAAGCTCGAGTAGCTCTCTACAAAGTACTCCATGCTCCCCAAATGAATCAAGCCTCGCACCAAATAAGTCATATCTCATTTATTAGAAATAAGAGAATCATGAGTGATACATTAGGATAGAAGATTACTCCACCAGCAACATATGTTGGCCAAGCCCTTTTATATCAAAGTGTATGTCTATATCCTCAACAAGGAATTAAAAAGGCACTCGCCAATGCATATTGGAATTTAGAGGGACGGTGTCCTCTTTAATAAATCGCTGAAGTCAAAACTTAGAATCGTATTATGAAGACAAACCAAAGCACAACCATAATTAGAACACATACCAAAAATTGAAGTCAAAACTTTTTAGTGATACCTACTTCTTTAATTATTCATTTTTTTAATAACAAGCAAAATATATTAAATGAGTTTTTTGTGACATTTATCCCCAAATTCTTAAAAAATTGTACAAATTCCCTAAAAACTTTTAATATTGCACTAATGGTCTCTAAATTTTTGAAAATGTTACATCAATGGTCCCTCTGCGCCAGATTTGGGAGTACATTAATCACACCCTTGTCTAGTCCAAGCGTGGAGTCATATAAACGCATATATCACACAAGAGTTCTATATTATGTTTTTCCAAACATTATTTTATGTATTTTAAACTTTTTGAAAGCTCATATAATATTTCTCACTTTAGCCATCAGTAACCAAAATTGAAGTCTAGCATCAGTCAATCAAGCTCTTCATCAATTGATCAACCTTTTCATCAATTCATGATATCTTCATCAAGCTCCAACATGTATATTGATGGACGTGTGATTAATGTGCTCTAAAATCTAGCGTAGAGGAGCCATTATTGCAACATTTTTAAAAGTTCAAGGACCATTGATGCAAATTTTAGATTTTAGGGGAAATCTGATATATTTTTGAAGAGTTCGTGGGTGAATGACACAAAAACTCTAAATCCTATTACTTACAATTGAATAGAGGCTTTTGAAAGGATATAATAAAGAAAGCATAATACATAAACATTGTTGACCTAGAAGGAGGTTGAGAACATAAACGAGGATTCATATATATCGGTCCTATTAGAAGGATATCCAAAGGATGATTACACATCATTAAGTGTGCTATTAATAAACAGTTTATAACTATACTTATAGTTAATGCATAAAGAAGCCACCATTTTGGATGCGAATTCCACTGACTTTGACATCGTAGTGACAACAGAACAATTAATAGATCTGCACTTCACGGAGTCACCATAAAGGGCAACTCTAGATTCTAACCAAGAAAAGAAAAAACACCCACATAGGGGCAGGGGGAACCACCATGAACCATCAAATATAGATACAACCAAATCTGAGAAACACCACCAACTAAGAGGGATATGATCAGATCAGGATTAATTTAACATGGAAGAAGAAAAAAATGAAGAGGACTAGTAGACAAGTTGTAGGATGTTGTAGAAAAATCTACATCTCCCCCTAGCAACCAGAGTTTGGAAGAAGAAAAAACTTTTTAGAGAGAATGAAAAGAAACCCTAGGTCTTTACGTATGAATTATGGTCTTTATTTGATTATTTATTAAGTTTATATTATATAATTGAAATAATATAATTATTTTCCTTAATTATGTATTAAATTAAAATAATTTAATTAAGTCAACACATATGTTATACTCGGAAAAAAACTTCAGTTAATTTTATAATGTTTAAATGAGTTATATTGAAAATTAATTCAAGCTTCATTATTCGCACATGAAAGTGAAGGATTAACAAATTAATAATTCCTAAAACACTAAATAACAATAATGCCGATGTGAAATACGAATGTTTATCCTAATTTTGTCTCGATTCACACGTGAAGTCAAGATGATATCAATGAAACTTTTCCTAAAACGTTGTTGTTATTCCAAGAAATAATGTCATGGATTAAATTGGATAATAGTTAACACATTTAAATAAACACCTACGTGCATTTAATATTTTTTTAAAAAGTAGTACATTTAATATTATATAATACAAATGTGCAAAAGAAATGTCCTCCCCTCCAGCCCCGGATAGGGTACAATTCCAAAGGCATTTCCAAAAAACAAGATCGAGTGATATATGTTGCGTTGAATGGATGTACTCCCTAATATTTTAGCATTATATCAAGGAGTGTTTCTTTAATACCCCTTGAGTTTATATATCATTTTTGTTAACGTTCTCACATAAAAAAACTTTTTTTTATTTTTTCGTTTAAAAAAATATACTTATTTATGTAGGTCTATAGTGAACCTTAAGTCTACCATAGAATTTCCTTATATTAAATTGTTTTCAAAAAATCCTTTTAAAATTGCACAAAATTAAGCGTTTTACTCATCAACTTAAATATTACAACCTCTAGACGGAGAGAGTAGCACAATCAACACAACGACCTTTTAAAAATTAGCAGTTAGAAAACTAGAATACAAAGAATTCTGCTATTGTGGCCTTCAGGTCTTCATATAAAATATGGACTTTCTCACATATTTTTTATAGACTCATAATTAATTTTCTTTTTTCTAGAAAGTCCAATACATATAATTATTTTATATATTAAGATCTATAAAATGAGCATACAAGAAAAATAAGATTCCAAGCTTTCCTTGAAAAGTTGTGATACCTTAGGCCAACCGTATTGGATGAAGTAGGAGCAGATGAAGTCCGGAAGGGTTGCAACATCCAACAATGGTGGAAGGACAACTTTTCTGTTTCTTTTTATAAGGCAAAGGCAGAGATGTTCGCATCCGCTATGAAAAGAAAAGGGGTAGGATAAACTAGGACAGAGGGAGTAATATTTTTGTGTAATAATATCATGTGTTGGGTTAGTTTTTTTTTATATAAAGATAGGTTGAATCATTATTTGAGGATAATTTAAAATATTTTTATTTACTTGTCTTTGAATAAACTTTACATTTTTTATGTATAAATAATAAAATTAATTACACACTTCTCTACTTTTGTCTTTCTCTCTCTACCATGGCGAGGAAGAGTGGAAGACCTCATGAGGTTACGATTCTCGACCAGTCATTCAGTTGGCAAAGCACCAAACTCAAAAATCAATCATCAAAGAATGCTAAAATCCAAACGAGCCAGAATATATATACATAGTAAGATTTCAAAAAGGAGGAAGATACAGATGAAATTATTAAGAAGTGGAGTACTACTTCACTGGTTGGGGATCTTTTATTAATAATGTTAGAGTGTCATCCACATCAAAAGTTAAGAGCAAAATAATCGTGATATAAGCTCTTGAGTTGAACTAACTAATGGATTAGATTCAATCTTTTTATGTGGTTCAACCCAAGTGTCTTATTATCCAATCCAGTAATCCCTACCCCATCTTAAATTCTATGAAATAATAATACCCATCACTTAAGCAGAATATGGGATCTTTGGGGTCCTAATCATATTCAGATTGATAATAAGGAGATTACTAGTCTCTTGATTCATTGTAAAGGAAAAAGTATGAGTGATAGTAATACTTTTTACATCACTTTCATCTAAGCTCACAATGACACTAAGGGCACTGAAAATACCCATGAAACTCCGAGGCTTCAAACCTTCTCTCTCTGCTAAGTCAGTTTTAACTTACCTCACAGTTACAGTGAAAATAGATTTGAAGCTCCAGAGTTTCAAACTGGGGCGGCAAGCCTTTATTTTTTACATTTTAAATACACATCATCTAAAATTAAATTAATAAAATTTAATTATTTAAAAGAATTGAAACGAGAATAGTTCATTAAAAAGATTACATTCATTATAAAAAATTACATTCATTAAATAAAAAAATTACATTCATTGAATAAAAAGAATTACATTTATTATAAAAAGTTACATTAATTAAATAAAAAATTACATTCATTAAATAAAAAAATGACATTCATGAAAAAATAAATAAAATACTTGATTAATAATTTTTTTTAAAAAATGATAGATAGAGAGAAAATTATATTTGTGTTGAATCTTAGAAAAAATTAATTTAATTTATAGAGAAGAAAAGAGGAAAAAAGAGGGAGAAAAAAAGAGAGAACGCCTTCAAATCGCGTCAAAAATTTGACGCAGCAATTTTAACGGGCTGATAACGGGGGAGGGGGGCGGTGTTTAATGTCCCCCAGGCGTCGAAGTGAGCTTAACGTGGTTGGGCGTCATGCCCATTACCACTGCTCTAATAAGAAGAGACATCTTTGGAATGATCTTAAAAGGATAGCTTTTAATATTAAAGAAGCTTGGTGTTTTATTAGGAACTTAAACACTGTTTCAAATATGAATCAATGATAAGATTGGGGGAAACTCAATTGGCTGGGAAGAGACGTGATTTCATAGATTTCCAACACAATTGTGCCCAGGAAGATATGCCAATTGAAGGAGCTAAATATACCAGGTCTACCAGAAGGCTAATGGCATCTTGAATTATTTTCAAAAGTCTCTGGGTAATAGAATCAAGACTGAGGATATTAACATCAAAATTGTTGAAAATGGTCCTCTCTCTGTGTTGAACAACTTTTATTGATTGAACCTATTCCCCCACCAGAAGATGTGAGAAAATATATGTTTGAGATTCCTAAGAGTCCGCTTGGTATACGGAATTGATGGAATTGGAATTGAAATTCCATGGGAATCAATTCCATAGAATTGAACTCACCCATTTCGATTCATTTTTTGCACTATCAATTCCAAACCCACATAATTTTTGTGCTACCAACCACCAGAATTGGAATTGAAGTTCTCAATTCCAATTCCAAAGTTTGAATTCCATGTACCAAACGAGACCTAATTGTAAAAGTCTAGGGCTAGATGAGTATGCTAGTAGTTTCTTCAAATATTAGCGGGGCATATGGTAGGACATCTAGTGACTAAACCTGTGCTAAATTCCTGGTACTTGCTAATGACAGTGGACTAGAATAAAGCCAATGGTATGAAGCTTTTTAGGATATTGCTAATGACAGTCGTTGGATTAAATGGATAAATGCTAATATGACAGACTCTTGCTACAATTCAAAAAAACTCTTACAAGTTGGAAATAATTTTAGAGATATTCCACGAGGAGAATCAAATACTACTAAGAAAAGGCCTATCACTGGATTGTAAAGATAAAGAGAAAGTGAAGTGGAAAAATATTGTCTGGAATAAGTTGAACATTCCTAAACATCCAATCATCCTTTGGCTTATCTATAGGGAAAAATTCAGTCAAAACGCAAACTTATGAAATTTATAGATAATGATCTGTTTTATCCTCTTTGCATGAATTCTAATGAAGGTTGTCAACATCTCTATTGTAGTTGTTTTTTTAGTGTCTTTTATAAAAGCATTGCTTTATTTATTAATTATTCCCTCCGTCCCAAATTATAATGCTTGTTCACTATTCACAGGGTCAAATTTCATTCACTTTCTTTCTCTATTTTCGTTAGCAATTTGATAAAATAAAGTACTATTGTCACTACTAATTTTGTAGATCTTTTGATGTAGTATTTTAATATGTAACTTTTATTTTTTAACTATATACCATTTGTCATATAAAATTATTTGAAAATAATTTCAGTCAAACATCGTAAACCAAAACAGGCGTTATAAAATGAGACGGAGGGAGTATGATATAAAAGAAGCCAGATTGATAGAGATATCCATAGCTTGGGAGAACATAAAACCTACGAAGAAACGGAGGTATGTCGTAGTTGCGTTTGCTACCTGCTGCGACAATGTTTAGAAACCCAAAAACATGGTGATTCACAAAGGCTAGAGATTAGCTGATTTTGAGGTTGTGAGCTGGATCAAATTTCATGTTGGCTCTGTTACTGCTACTAGAGGGATAAACATGTAGTAGTAAACTTACTTTTTTCATTTTGATGAACTCCTATTTGATCATTTTGATGTTTATATGGTTGCATTTTGGTTCAAAAAAAAATGTAGTAAACTTACTTTTTTCATAGGATTATTTTAAAGATCTCCAATTCTAGGCCCTGTTTTTTTTATTTCTTTCCAATCCTATGTCACTTGGGACAAGTCCCATCATATTCGATGGATTGTCAAACTTAAGATACTGTCCCAACTGGGAGGGACCATCCCACTTCTTTTTCTTTTTAACAAAACGGTTAGGGAAGGATCAGAGATGCAAAAAGATACATTGGCCCAGAAATTCAATCCATCATCACCACAACTAACACCAGTTTTCATACTCCGCTTGAGAATGTTAGCAGCAATATGACAACAGAAAATCAACAGTGTAGATGGATGTGTCATATGCTACTGCACAGTTTTTGATACCTGAGAGCAATAGCATTAAGATCATGGGCTTCAAAAACCTCAACTAAAGACTTAATTGCTAGGCATATCATCTCTTTCTTTTTGTCACGGTTGGAAGAGTACTCTGCATCAAGCAGATCATTTGGTGCCCGCAATGAGAAGCACAACCCTTTAAGCCACTCCTCGAGGAATGATGATTTCTATAAAAATAACAGATAGTACTAATCAAAATTTACACCATTACCAATATGAAAATAATAGACCAGGTGTTCATTTGAAAAACTCTTACTCAGGGGATACTTATGCCGGGACAGGTGGGCAAGTGTTGCACTCATTATGACAAATATGGTTTCTAGTTTTGATTTAAAATGTTGCATATTTACCATTTTTTATTTACTTCGTAGCATCCAAACCCAGAATATTTATGTGAATTACTAGGTGAACAAAATTCTCACCTTGCCAAGAAACTCGTGCACACCATGATCGTAAATTTGAGAAGAAAGAGAAAGCACATGCAACATGGTTGAGGTCAACTGCACAGTGATATGTTGAATTAAATAGTGACGTTCCAAGGACTACTCATAAAACATATGTGCAAATTGGAGGTCATATAATACATATTACAAAGTAATAAACAACATTCCCAAGAAACAAGCAGATATTGAGGAAATGTATAATTATTTACAAAACGAATTAACATTTGGAGTTGCCTTTATTCACTTCAACGTTCTAACTCCAAGACTCCAATATCCTGATTGAGACACTTATCACACAAAGCAAACGTAACCAAACAAACATATCAGTTCTCCTTTACCTCATGCAAATCTCGTTACAGCAAACTCAACCTTTTTTAGTTTTACTGTACACCAAAATTTACATACTCCCTCTGTCCAACCCCCAAAAGGCACTCTTTCTCTTCTTTTTTTTTTGGGGGGGGGGGGGGGGGTTACGGTTAAATTTAGAAGTGATCAAAAAGGTAGGAGTAGATAATTTCAAATAAGAATGAAAGTGTAAAGTGATTGAAAATGCAAGTGAAAAGTGTACAAGTGATTGAAAAAGTAAGAAAACAACAACAAACCCTTATCCCACTAGGGTCTGCTACATGGATCAAACAATGCAATTGCGCCCTAGCCAAGTCCTCTTAAATCTACCTCTTCCTCTAGCCACATGCCTATTCACCATTTGATCAACCTTTCTCACAAATTGCTCTAATGGTCTTCTCTCCACATGTCCAAACCACCTAAAACGAGTTTCCACCAACTTTTCTACAATTGGTGCCACTCCAACTTTAGCTCTCATATCTTCATTCCTTATTATATCCATACGCGTATGATTGCTCATCCAACAAAGCATCTTCATTTCTGCCACACTAAGCTTGTGTTCATGTTCACCCTTTGCTGCCCAACACTCTGCCTCATACAATATAGTTGGTCTAATAGCAGTACGGTAACATTCTCTTTAGTTTTAAAGGTACTTTTGTCACATATAAAGCCCGAAGCACTCCGCCATTTTGACCAACCGGCTTGAACCATGTAGTTAACATCATCCTCTATTTTTCCATTGCCTTAAAAGATACACCCAAGATATTTAAATCTCTTGTGGTATTGTATTTTCTTCAACTTTCACCACGATGTTACCTGTTACAGTTTCTCTTTCTGTTGCCAAACTTGCACTCCATATACTCTGTTTTAGTGCGACTTATACGCAAGCTATGCAACTCTAATGCTTGTCTCCACCAATCCAACTTCCCATTCAAACCCTCTCGTGAGTCGCTCATAAAGATGATGTCGTCGGCAAAAAGCATGCACCACGGTACAAATTCTTGGATATGCTCGGTAAGAATGTGCAATACAGTTTAAAAAGATATGGGCTTAACGAAGACCCTTGGTGTAATTCCCCTATTATCCTAGTTTGACTTCTCATGCTCGTTGTGGCACCATCGTACATGTCCTTAACCGCACGAATATAAGCAATCCTTACTCTTTTTTTTCTCGAGCACCTTCCACAATACCTCTCTTCTTACCCTCTCATATGCTTTTTCCAAATCAATAAAAGTCACGTGTAGATCTCTCTTTTTGCTTCGGTACCTCTCCATCATTCTTCTCACCAAGTATATAGCATTTGTAGTTGACTGACATAAAACCAAATTAGTTCTCTAACACCGAAATCTATTGTCTCAACCTCCGTTCAACGACTCTTTCCTACAACTTCATTGTATGACTCATAAGCTTCATCCCTCTGTAGTGTCCACAATCTGAATATCTCCCTTATTTTAGTAAATAGGAACCAAATGCTCTTCCTCCATTCGTCATGCATCTTCTTAGATCTTAAAATCTTGCTAAAAAGCTTAGTTAGCCACCAAATGTCTTTTCCTCCTAAACTTTTCCAAACTTCAATCCAGAATGTTGTCTAGGCCCAGTGCTCGGCTATCCTTCATTCGTTTTAGGGCTTCCTTAACCTCAAATTTTCAAATTCTTCAGTAATAATTGAAGTTTTGGTCCTCTTACCTCGGGTGTAGCCGATCGAAGCATGAGAAATTCACATGCTCCTCATTAAACAGACCATTCCACCAGTTGTTTATGCTTTCATCAAAAACCAAAACTTCACCATTCTTATCTTTAATGAACTTAACTTGGTTTAAATCCTGCATCTTTCTTTCTCAACCCTTTGCAATCTTGTAGATACATAATTCCCCTTCTTTTGTACCCAAGGACTGGTAAAACCCTTCATACACTCTCATTTGTGCTTCACTTCCGTCTTATCTATTTTATACCTTTCCCAACATTCCACATTACGATATAAAGATCACTCCTTGAAACGTTCTTGCTTTACCTTTACCTTCTCTTGCATTAGTACCTTTAGTTTCTCCAAGGGTTTCCTTTGCCACCTTTTTAATGATATCTACCATATCCCACCATAACTCTTCCGCAGTTGCATGTCTATCCTATTTTGCTTCTTCTACTAAACGGCTTTGGAAATCTATTTGCTTATCACCTTTCAACTGCCGACATCTACCTTTCAACTGCCACCATCTAGTCTTTAGGTTCCCCTCTTGGCGACTTCTCCTGAGCTTTCGTTGGATACGAAAATCCATAACTAATGCTCTATGTAGATTGTAGGGTGGTCAAACTCTCTCCAGGAATAATTTTACAATTAGTTCAAAATTTTCGATCCGATTTCCTTATCAAAAAGAAATCAATTTGAGAGCATGTCATCCCACTCTTATAAGTTATAAGATGCTCGTCTAGCTTTTGAAAACAAGTGTTCGCAATAAGAAGTGGGAAGGTCGAAGAGAAACCTAGGATGGTTTTACCTTTTCCCTTGTTACCCCAAAGCCATGCCCTCCATGGATTTGTTCATACCCACTTCCATCCTTTCCAACGTGTCCGTTTAAATCTCCTCCTACAAATTTGGTCAAAGTGCCTTTTAGGGGGAACAACCGAAATGGAAAGAGTGCCTTTGGAGTGGGACGGAGGGAGTACATATATCCTCAGACACATCTTTTTCATAACATCTTTTTCAATATATCTTTTATCATTACATCTTTTTTAATATATCTATTCCACTTTTTTTTCAATATATCTTTTTCATTATATCTTTCTTTCAATACCCCAACGACACACATTTTGATTAGTAAAATATACATAGAAGTGTTACTATGCATGTCAAGTTTAGCCACCATGACTAAGGAGAAAATGGAATGAACCAGCGCCTTTTTTAAGTGTTCAAGATTTCAGTTTTTTGATATACAGGTTCCATATTCAGCATGTGTCAAGTCATTTTGTGTTGGGATTTGGGAATAATGTAAAGCAAGTGTGAATCAGTTTTATACGCTTCTCCTTGAAAGGGAGAACATTGAAATGGTATTCAACATTAAAGTTAGCATTTTATGACGCGCGCACACACCACATAGTTAAGTCTTCTCAATTTAAATGTAAGTAGTTTGTTGGCAATTAGAATGACAGAAGTTGTAAGTCGTGAGCTTATAATGAAGAAAGTCCATATTCAAGATTGATACCTGCTTTTCAAGTGCAACCCTATACTTCAAATTTGATGGCATTGAAATCTGATCCGACCTTAGATTTTCAATGACATGCTCCACGCCTTGAAGGACATCCAAAAAAGATCTTCCATATTCTGAAAGAGCAAATTAAGGTTTTAATGATTATGCAATTGATTCCTTAGCCTTTCTTTTCCATAAACATTTTTTTAGTTACTTGCTTCATATAGATAAGGACAGTATAAATTTCACAATGTGACTGAAGAAAAATGCATAAAAAATAACTCCAAAACTTGAGAAGTTAGTGGAAAAGAGGGCTTAGGTATTCACCACTGATGGTTGCTGGGACAGCCAAAGCTGCAGCTGCTTGTATCCTAATTTTAAAGTTAGTGGAATTGCGCAGCAGCAGCAGCAGAATGCTAAAAACCGAAGGTGCCCTGCAAATCAAAACATCTTTGCATTAAGAAAACTATTTACATTGAATTGCATGTAGAGAATTCTTCACTAAGCACAACATCCTAATCTTGACACCAGTTCAAACCTTAGAAACATGCTTGCAAAACTTAATTGATCACATCAACGGGAATGGATGAACATTGTGCAAACAGAAAAGAAATGGATAGAGGCACAGAATCAGTTATATTCTGCTCATGACACAGCTCCAAATTACATCTCATGTCTGAATGTACATGCATTCGGTAATATTATGTAATCGTTTTAACGATAGCTCAATTTTCTTTTAATTAACGCTCATTTTCTTGCCTTTTTAAGTTTATGTTTTTTATTTTTATAATTCTGCTTGTTTTTTTATGTTTTCCTGGTTTATATTGTTTACTTTTTTACTAAACAGAGAGTGCTAAGCTTATTCTCAATTGAATTGTTTTTATTTTTTCATGTATATCTTCTTTTCATACTTATGTTTTTTAGTTTTTTATTTTTATAATTCTGCTCATCATCACAGTTATAAACAGATAGTGCTTAGCTTTTTCTCATTTAATATTTTTTCACTTGTATTTTTTGGGCCATTGTTTCAAAATTATCATATTCATAACTGTACTTCTTTTGTTAGGCTCAGCCGCTTAGATATGTAGTTATATAACTGGTTCTAGTAATATATTGGTTGACAAATGATGTTGGATGTACAAAAGATGTACCACATAAGAATGGTTCTACTAGGTGAGGTTTAGAACCATGTTCAAAAACTAGTTAATTTAAACCAAAAATTATGGAGTATTTCAAAAATGAAAACTAAATATGAGCAATTAAAACAGATTTTCAAAAGGATACGAATGATAATTAGATTTTTTGCCAGAAACTGTTAAAACTTTTCATTTTTGCCAATTGATTGAATAAATGAAAATAACGATGATAACGACAACAAACCCAGTAAAATCCCACAAAAATAGGGTCTGGGAGGGTGTGTATAGGCAGATCTTACCCCTACTTGAGAGCAAGGAGGCTGCTTCCAAGACACAAGTAGAATAAGTGAAAATAAAGGATCCTAAATGGCTAAATAGGACTACACCCTCTACACATAACATATACCTAAAAAGAATTATCTATGTCTTTACTCTTTTCAGTAAATTAGGACGAAGAATTAAAATTTTATGCTATACAAATGGTACAGTTCTACTAGGCTACGTTTAGCACTGAAAACAAGTTAACTTAAACTGAAAATTTAATACAAGCAATAAAAAAGATGTTAAAAAAGGTAAGTGCGGAATTGAATTATTCATTAGGAAAAGATGAAATTCATTGTCTTAATCAAATGATTGAATTAGTGAAAACAAAATAAATGAAGTGAAATTAGACTAAAAGTTGGCCTTAGGTCTATACAGTATTTACCCACATAAGACCAACAATACCAATTGCCATACATACTTTCTCAGTAATCATGCAATAACTATTCAACACATTCTTCTTCTCCCCAAATCCTACTTCACATCCCTCATTGGATACTCTTTATGCAACAAAAGATAGTCTGTATTCATCCCCATCACTCTCTTCATCCTTTTCTGTTCCTCTACATCTTTGGGCTCTATTTCTCATATCTTATTCACGATAACCACCCACTCGTTAGGACAATTTGATGCTATGTACCCAAAGCCAACATCCATAAATCTTCATCTCTTTTAACCTCATATTAATCTGTTTCAAGTGTCTTTTCCCTAGTCATTTAGTGCTTCCAAAGATTTCCAATTGGTGGTAAATATTTGGCATACACAAAGTCTTCAAAATCAACAAAGTTGTGACAGTCCACCTTGCTCGCTATCTCCAGTCCAAACCCTTGATGAAATGCACCATAGTGGCTTCACGAGGCTCCCTATCATGTGCATGCTTGGCTCCCACCATTAGTAAAAAAAGATTCTTGTGCCACATTTCTAAGTGTGAGAGGAACATATAGTTCCTTGGAATAATAACTAGGAACAAATCTTTTCATAATCACCTTCAACTACGCGCTTCTAAAACC